CCCCAAAACCCCAAAACCCCAAAACCCCAAAACCCCTGGGATGTGAAAGTCGATTGATGTGATAAAAAATAGAGATTTTTAATTATGGAGTTTGGATCTCTTGAAAGTTTCATTGTTAAGTTTTAGATTCGTAAGTATAAGGCCTCAAACTAATCTCAAATTTTGCCTGATCATATTTTGAGACCATAAAATAGAGGCTGTTAGTTGTGAAAAGAAAACGAAGCCGCATAGAGCTATCAATACTTATAGAATGCTTTTCAATCGTAAGGTCTATATCTAGAGACTCTCTGTTTGTATATGCTCAACAGATAATCAAGACTGCTAAGAGGAATTTATTATCTTAACCATTACAATTGATAAACCCCCCAGTTACAAAGATATTATTCTTGCCTTATAAATTTTGAAGGAGGGATTAAGCCCTTAATACCACGTTTTCTCGTAAATTTCACAAAAATGTCAAAATTCTCTTGATGCTGAAGTGAGAGAAAAATAAGATTCAACTCTCAACTTCCTTGATGTTAAAAACAGTATCAAGAGTGGAGATAGTATTTTTTTAATTTTTAAACAGAATTATTATTCTTCAAGCTTCTTTTTGCAATCAGGACAGTCCCTTTTTCTTTCTAGCCATAGTCTGAAACACTTAGAATGATGCATGTGTCCGCATTTTGATTTGGTAATACTCATTGATTCTTCTAATCTGTCCAAGCATATCGAGCATTTCTGGTCTAGAAATGAATGTAATTAGAGCTTCAGAATATCTAGATAAAATCGACTTCGAGATAACAAATCTCTGAGCTTCTTTACCCCCCATTCTTCATAAATATTGAGGAAACTCTTGTGTGTTTCAGAAAAAGATGACATTTTCTTCTTCACAATTCCGCTCAAAAAATTATTAATGCTTCAATAGATTGTTTGGAATCGGGCTATGTGGTAAGCCACTACTTAAGTTACTAAGAATATGTTAACCTCTGAAGATATAGAGACTAATAATACACCTGATGTTTCTGAGGAATAAATTTTTTATGGAAACTAAAGTATCTTAGGTTGAAAGAAGATAATTTGGGGTATCTGATAAACCATACAATGCATAGAGCTTTAGAAAAGAAGAACCAAAGCCAAGCGTTTACATATCCTTATTGAAGCGAAGGTATCTTACAAAAGTTCAGCCTATTGCTGATATCACAAATAAAAATCGTCATTGGTTCAAAACTAAAGTATCCTGTGTTTTTTGCAGTGAAAGCCTTATGAGATACAGCGCTGAAGCTTTATATCATAATAACATAGCTGTTTCTAAGTACTGTAGAGATATTTAAAAGACTTTGTCATGAGAGTAAGGCATCATCATGTTAGCACTTCATAAACAAAATTTTGTCATTTACTAAAAGTAAAAATTTGTTTTAAAAATTTGATCGAAAATTTTGTTTGAAAAATTTGTTTAAAAGCAATGAAAATCTAGCTTTATTTGACTTAGTTATAACGATGCCAACACATATCTAACAACAAGAGGACTCTAATGGTATCCAAATAAATTAGCAAAGTTGAGAGCTGTCAAATGGACTCCTTACTACAACATTTTATTCTTTCCAAAGAGAAATAATATGGAAAATCTTTTCGAACCATCCTAACCAATTTTATTCTGCATGAAATCTTTCAAATGAAACTATCATAGCAGAAATGATAGCTAGCATTTTCTTGCAGCCAAGAGAGCTTATTGAAGGTTTAGAATGCTAACATATATCTATTTAGCTTCCAAAGTAAGATGAAAAGTATATGAATCATAAAAACCTTTAGTTTGTTTTATTCAGCAGAAAATTTGCTGAGTATAAAAAATCAAAAGAAGCTAATCTTATCAATAATTCCTACTGACTCAAAAGGTGGTGAAAGCAAGCATCCTTTGTAATAATAAGTACCTATTTCGTTCAAAATGGAAAATTGCTCAGATATTAATAACTTACTCTTCTTCAAGAGTTCTCCCATTGATGAATCGGGATTAGGGAGTGGATATTGGTCGACTGTAATTTCAACTTTTTTCTTGATTACTGTTGTTGTTCCTGGTTCTAATCTTGACCCTGGACGTACAGAAACAATAACATGGTTGTTCTCAGTTTGTTTTGAAGCACAGTTTTCCTTGCAAAAGAGGAGTAGGACATAGAAAAGAGAAGGGGTAGATAATTGGGGCTTTATTGGTTGAAGATCAAGGTTGATGCAGCATTATTGAAGTAATCTCATAGAAACCACCCAAAATGAGGTAAAAATTCTAAAAGTCTATTAAATATTGAGCCAAAAGTTCAATGATTTAGGCATTAAAGCTTAATATAACGGCTCTCAGTCATGATGTTGAACTTCAGATACTAATGTATGCCTCCTAGTCTCCTCTAAAACGAACTCACTTAAGAATATGGTAATTTTTAGAATATCAAAAAGCAAACATAAAAGATCCAAGTGAGAGGATGAACATAAGGAAGCCAATGAACTTTAAACAAATAATATCTAGTCTGTAAATAAACAGAGTAGCAAAATAGCTCCAAATAAGTAATAAACATAAGACCAACCCAAAATCCAGCATTCATTTGTTGGTCATAGACAATCGGTAGGGCAATACCCAGTCCTAACTGACATATACAAAAACTACATAAAACTCTTAAAGCAACTATATCACAATTTCCCGAGGATCAAAACGGAATTTCAGAATTATAATCTTCATCATTATTAAACACAATCATCAAGTAAGCTGGTCCAAAAACCAAACCGCTTATAGCTGCAGTGATATAGAAGAAAGTCTTCGCTTCTTCACTTCAGAGTTTATCTTCATGTTCTTCATCTGTCATTATCCAAAGGACAATGAAATGGACGAGAGCTCCCAAGGTTAGGTTACAGTTGACAAAGAGGTAAATCAGCAAAGCTGAGGTACCTCCCACGATCATTCTCCAGATCAACAAACCAAAAATGATGGCAAAACTGATCAAGTACAGGAGGATCATGTACTCTTTAGAGTTGACCAGCTTATGCATTTTCTCTCAAGCCTCTTTCATTATATTTATAAACAAGATCCAATCTTCTTTTTATATACGGGGTTTTGGGGTTTTGGGGTTTTGGGG